TCTGAGGACCCAAAAGGCGATGACTCAGCCTGAGGCAGAAACAACCCTTCCTCCAGATGAGGCCACCACCCTGGGCCTTAGCAGTGAGGACTGACCAGGCTGAGTCCCCAGGGAAGGGTTAAGTCTCAGAGCCCCAGGGAGACAAAATAGAGAATTGGCCTGCCGGCCCTGAGATGGAGCATGACCATCTTGACCCCTCGAGGTCTTGTCCCATGGGATGCCCTCCTCCTTCTCTTGGCCTTAAGCGGGATCAGGGGGCAGTTGAATTTCCTGGATGGGAAATGAGGTGACTGGGAGTACATGTTCCAAAAATGGTCCCACGGAGAGAGGATAAGGTGTCCCTAATCCGCAGCTGGCCAAGGGGGCTGGCAGCACCAGGCAGAAAGGGCTGGAGGGGGAATTGGGAGCTTTTCTGGAATCTCCGCAGGCTGGCTTGGGCTGAGGAGGCAGCTCTGTAGGGCACTGGGAGGCAGTTTCAGCTCCATATAAGGAAGAACTCAGCAAGCCAGAGCTGCTCAGAGAAGGAATGGGTGGCCACAAGCGTGAGTGAGGTCCCGTCCCGGAGGTGGACCAGCAGGGCCCAACACCACTTTGGGTATGTAGTCAAAGTGATACCCAACCTCAGGTCCCAAGATGCATGAGCTAACTTGGGTTCCTCGGTCAACTTCCTCCTGGGACGAGGTATGCAGCTTCCATTCTGAACACTATGCCCAGCACCCTGTGGAGTCCTCTACCTCCCTGATGTTGTGAATCCTTAAGACAGCCTGGTAGGGTAGCTGCCATTATTGACCCCATTTTACAGTTGGAGAAAATAGAGGCTGAGAGATACCTATTTTTCCAGAGTCCTACAGCCAGAGATGCATAAGAAGGATTCAGACCCAGATCCATCCAATTCACAACCCCTGGCTCTTAAACCAGACCATCAGTAGGTTCATGGAATGTCAGAGGAACAGGGCTGTAAAAGGCCACCAGTCCCATGGCACAGGTGAGGAAACAGGTCCAGAGGGCAATGAGTCAGCTGAGGTCATAGGGCAAAAGTGTCAGAGATGAACCCAGATCCCCAAAGTCTTGACCTGGGGCCTTGGTTTCTTGGGGGCTGTGCTCTGAGCTGGGTGCTGGCATGAGCATAGCCAAACCATGGGCCCCTCAGTGCCCCCACGTCCCATCCATCCTATTACTTCAAGTCCTCTTCTCATACTGAAAACCCCAAGGTAGGCTGGGGAAGAAGTTACTCGCCCCTAAATCACATCACTACCTTATGCAAACCCGCTGACGGCCTGGAGACTACAAGATGAGATCCAACCCCTTAGATCCCCAACCTGCTCCCATCTGCCTCCTCATCTAGGTGCCAATATTTCCAGAACTCACCTTGGTCTTCCCCCACCCTTTACACACATTGCCCTCTCCCTGAGAGACAGCCTTTCCCTGAGTCTTGTCTCTCCTTGCTGCACCCCTCATCCTCCAAAGCCTGTCCCACACATGACAAGCCACCTCTTCCAAGCAGCCTCCCTTCCCTGCCAGCGGCAGAGATCCCTCCTTGCTGGCTTCCACAGCCCTCTGGCCCGGCCCTGTCTGCACCTGGTCACACTGGATGCCATCGTTTGTGGAGGGCGGCCAGGTGGTGGAGGCCACAGAGCTGGTGTGGGAGGTGCCGGGAACCCTAGGGCAGGTTCCACCTTCCACCTTCCTGAGCCTCAGTTTCCTTATTGTAAAATGCTGACTGCCGTTGTCCCTGCCTCCGGGTGTCGTGAGGATAAAATAAGATGATTCAGTGTTTCATATAATGGTTAAAAACTGGCTTTAAAAAAACCAGCCTCAGCCATCAACCAGCTGTAGACCAGGGCAACGGTCTCCACCTCTCAGAATCTCAGCTCCCAGCTCTATAAAATGGGGTTAGTGACACTATCTCTATGCTGTGGCTGTTGACGGCATTGAATGAGAGGATGTGGGGTAACGCAATTTATAGGAAACGCCCCTGAAATCGCTATTACCAATTGTGCACTCAGAGTGACAGGCAGTGCACTAAACATCAGCATGCAATAAACAGTAGCTTTGAATAATAATATTAAATAACAAAGAAGCTGATGATGGCCAGGCCTTCCTCCTCCACTAGACCCCCTGCCACCTGAGGGTGAGACACAGGCCGGGCCTGTGTTGTCCCCTCCGTGTGCCTGCGAGCCCCCGGCTGGGACAGGATCCGGCGCTTATACTCTTCCAAACCAATTCCTCTCCCAGAGCATCTTCCACCCTCGCTCTCCTGGTGACTTGCTTATTGACCTCACCCTGCCCTAGACAGTGAACCTGTGAGGGCAGAGCCTCAGAGGCTCCGAGCTTGGCACCTGGCCCACATTGGCCCACAGTAGGTGCCCACTAAAGAGCTGTTGGCTGAATGACTGGCTGACAAGATGAGCGGGTGCTTGGGGGCTGAAGGGAGAACCGTGTGGCCTGGCGGTGCCGTCCCAGGGTCCAGCACACTCAGGGCCTGGCTGTCCCTCCCTGTGCAGACTCACCTGCTTGTACTTGTACAGAAGCAACAGGAGCAGCAGCAGCAGCAAGGCCATGATGGACAGGCAGGCGACCAGCACGGGCGTGAAGAGGGGCTCCTCAGAGAGCTGCATGATGGCTCCTGGGAGGGGCGGGCAGAGGAGTGAGCCGCAGGGGCTCTCTGTGACCCCCCCCAACCCCCACCCCGAGAACAGGCCAGTGCATTTCCTGGAACACAGTGGGCACTCAGTAAATGCTTTGACTGAATAAAGTATCCTCTCACATGGAAGCCTGCAGAGCCTCAGGGAGCCTTCCTGCAGACTGTCCCCAGCCAGGGGCCAGGGGCCAGGGGCAGGGAGGTCAGGCCCTCCAGCTCTGCTCATGCCCAGCCCCAAACCCTGCCAGAATCACAGCCTTGTGTCTAGGGGAGCCCCTTGTCTGCTGCTTCCCTGAGTGCCCTTTGGGACCAATGCAACCCTTCCTGGGGTCTGAAAGCCAGGCTCATGGCCCCTGGGTCTCCTCAGATCAGTAACTCGTAGTTCCCTTGATGTTTTGAAAGACGTCATTTCCATCACCTTGCCCAGACCAATGGCATGGGTCTGAGGCCAAATCTCACCTCTGCTACTTAGGAGGTATGTGGCATTGAACCTGTAACTGCTCCCAAAGCCTCAGGTTCATCATCTCCAAAGTCAAAGGGAAATAGTACTGACCTCCTAGGGATGAACCACTTCATCAAGACAATGCCTATAAAGCTTAGCACAGTGCCTGGCACAGGGAGACTGGGAGCAGCCATAGCAGCTGCGTGTGGAGATGGGTCCTGGCAGCGGCCAGCAGCTGGGCACTTGAGGGGCTACCTCTGAGCCAGGCAGAGGCTCCCGCTTTGTCCTCTCTGGCCCAGAGAGCCTTGCTAAGTCTGGCACATGGGTGCTAAGATCTGCTTGTCAGAAGTCAGAGTGCTGTGGGCTTCTGCACAGATGAGAGAGCTCCCCACACGGAGCCTTTGTGCAACCCAGAGATGGGCATCCCTTCCCCTCAACAGTGCAGCCGCACTGATGCATGGAGATACGCTCCCCTGCACTGAGTAGGTCCCTGGGATGCAGCAGATGCCAAATAAATACTTGTGAATTAATGCACGAGTTCAAATGCAGGGCATGAGCAGAGGGGCCAGTTAGGCTGTGCTTGCTTCTGGCTGCTTTCTCTCTGGATGCCTGCTTCCCCTCCACCCTTCCCCCCTACCTCCAGTCCTGGGGATTTTGGACTACTCCATCTGGCCACTTCAGGAAACCTTTGTTTAGGAGGGGCCTGGAGTGGGACCCACAGAGGTAGGACTCGGTTCAGCTGGGATCTGGGTAAGCGCCACATTAGAATTCTGGCTCCTTGAGCTGGGGCAGTGTCCTGGGCCCCTTCCTGTCCCAGCCTGGAGGGGCGGACGCAGGCTCACCTGCTGAGATGGGCTGGAAGGTGTTGGAGCTGTTCCCCGCACTGTTGTGGGCCCTGCACTCATACGTCCTGTTGTGTTCCAAGGTCCCAGTGACCAGCAGGCTCTGGACAGTCACCTTGTGGAAGGGCTCCTGGCTCACGATCTTGGGGTATGGGTCCTCGAAGACCAGCAGCGCTTGGGCCTCATCGCATCTGGGAAGAGCAGTGTGTGGCTCAGAGTTTCAGGGTGCCCAGCCCCTCTTTCTGGGCGAGGTAGGTGAGAGGAGCCCACTTACCTATCAGTATGGCCCCCGCATAGCACCCACGTCACGTTAGGCTGGGGATACCCGGAGGCTTCACAGAGCATGGTTCCAGAACCATTGCTGGGGTTCCACATGACCCTTACCTCTGGGGGGTCTGCAGAGGAAAAGAGTAGAAGGCAGAGGGATCAGCCCAGAGGCCTCAAATCCCCTTGTCTGACCACCTTGCACTGAGCTTCCTCTCCCCCAACCTTTCCCAGCTCGTCTCTCCAGGACCCCATGTCCCCACCACCCTGCTCCGTCACTTACATCGAAGGGTGATCTCAAAGGTCAGGGCCTCCTCGCCTCTGGCATTTCTGGCCAGGAAGGAGTAGCGGCCGGCCTCAGAGGGCTTCAGGCGAGGCAGGGAGAGGGTGGAGGTGTACCTGCATGAGAGGGGCAGGACGTCTGGGTGAGCCCAGGATGGTCCCCACCAGGACAGTGGGCTCAGACAACCACTCTAACAGGCTCAGCTAGGGCACAAAAGCCTTGACTGAACCAGGAACTCAAGCCAGGTGCCAATGAGACGTGCGAAAACCACCAACCCGATTTCCCTAATTGGTTCTCTTATCTGTAAAGCAGTTTTGTTCTGAGGTACAGGTGAGGTCTGTAAAGTGCCGACACTGGGAGGCACATCACAGGCCCCACTGAATGTACCTGCTTCCACCACCATCACTGGGCTAAGCCATCCCTGCTGAAAGCGTTGGCACCCAGGCCAGTTGCCATCCCTAAAGCTCCAACCCTGCCCAGAGGGGCTGTGAGAGGAATAAGAAGTAGGATGTAGCCATTAGGCTCTAGAGACTGGGGGTCAATTCCTTTGCTGCCAGTTCTCAGCTGTGTGACCTTAGACAAGTACTTAACCTCTCTGACCCTTCTGTTCCTTTTCAGTGAGCGCAACACTGATGGAAATTAATTCACAGACTTGGCATAAGATTAAAGGACTATATACTCAGAGTGCTTGACACACTCACTCACTGCAGACACTCAATTTAATGGCACCCTTTATTACAGAAAAAGCCTGGAGGCAAATGCAAACAACAAGTGATCCTGCACTGACTCCAGGTGATTTTTAAATTATTTTCTTACTCTCTATTTTAAAATGTATCCACAGTGAATGTGTATTGTTTGGGCGATGAAAAAGTTTTAAAAAAATAAATTATAGCAAATTTCCAGCTCTTTTGGAAAATGTCCTCAGTCATGACCCAAGACGAAAATGCATTGTCTTCAAAGGGCAATCTCCTTCAGACCTTAGGTGTACAGAACCTCTCTACACGTGTCATTTTTCATGATAACTGTTACCTCTTAAACTAAGAGAATTTCACTTCTGTGGATGTCTCAAAGTGACCATTATGAACACACCCATCGCTTGAGCTAAGTGCAGTGGCTGTTTGGTGTGCAGGCGTGTCTGCCTTTTGATGAATGGCCCCAGACTACTGTGTTTGGGGGGCTCTCCCTGGTTCCTTTCTGCAATATTCCTGTTGCTTATAGATCCCTGAAATCTGTCCATAAACCCCCCTGTCAGGGGCCTGCAGACTCCAGGTTCAGAACTTCTGCTTTAGATGAGAGGAAGTTAGAAATTCTGGCCAGGAAGGATAGTGGCCCTGGGAGGAGGAAGGTGAGGACAAGGGAACATCCTTGTAGGTTTTAATGACTGACAAGCAAGAGTCCGGGAGCCAGTGAGGTCTGGGCTTCAGGAACTAGAAAGAGAACCCTGGAGAGTTTGGGATTAGGAAGGTGTCTAAGGGATTATTTAGCCCAGGGATAGCAAACAGGTCTGCTCTCATGAGCCATTTATGATGGAACTGCTGTCTGGAGACTGTGTTGAGAAGGAATCTGAGGTTGCATCTAGATGCTGCAGAAAGTGGCATAGGGATATCTGTCTTGAGAATGGGAGGGAACGTTATCACATACATGCCACATACTTGCCATCCTTGATCGAACTGTCCGCTCTCATTCAAAGAGATCAGTAAAGACACTATTGTTTTAACTTCTTTTCTCATTACAGAGTACCAGCATTTCCCTTAGGGAGGAAACTCTTGTTTAGAAAGCTACCTGGTTAGGCCATGAAAATAAGACCCTGAGGACATAGTCCACAAGGAGACAGAAAAAATAGATTCCTAAAATGTTGTGCATGTGGGAAAAGCAGGATTCTGAGAGAAGACAGGATGCAGTCAGGTAGCACTTTATGAGAAGAATTTGAGCCTGTTGAGTGGCCCATGAGAGATTCTCAGGGCTAGGTGACCACAGGCCTTTAAAGAACTTCTTGATGTGTCTGTGATTGGGTGGTGTGAACTCCCTCTTTCCCACCCTCAAACCTGTGCATGTGGCAGATACCCTGTGCAATCATTATAGAAATGTGTCTAGAAGTGGAAATCATGGGGCATTGTCTTCTACATTTGGATTGGCCTGGAAAGAGGAGAATGAATGAGACTGAGAGTTCTTGGATGACCATGAGAATGTATACCCCCCCAGAAAAAGTAGAATTTTGGGGGGCATTTCCCAAGGATGTGGGGCAGGGGGCTATGCAAATTTGATCTAAATCTCAAACACAGATGACTGAGATTGAGGTTCTACACAGTCAGGGCAAGTGAGATGCAGAAAGGGGAAGGGACTCGCTCCAGGTCACACAGCAAGGTTGAGACAGGACCCAAGTATCCTGACTCTGGCTGAAGCGTTCCCCATCTGCTGTGGGGCTATGCAGATGGGAACTGATAGCTGGTACCTGTATGTATCCTTGACGGTGACAAAATTGAGCTTGGGTTTGTGGTCAGAGAAGGGTCCCCCATAGGTCCAGTTAAAGGCTTGTAGGTCCGGGTAGGCCTCCACTGTGACCTGGAGGTTGAGCTTCTTACCCAGGGCCACCTCCTGGAGGAGGTTCTCCTCAGAGGTCAAGTTCAGGTAGGCACTCTCTAGAAAGCAGAACACAGATCTGGCATCAGTGGGGTGATGTCCTAGTTTGCTTGTTCATTTGGTCACCCACTTGTCAATCCAGTCCTTCAGCTGGGCCCTCCTGCCTGCCTACAATGTGCCAGTCCCACAGTCCCCATCCCTAACCAGTGCTTGTCCTCTAACATCTCTCTTCCCACACCCACCACAGAAGCCTAGGGCTCCAAACTCTTCTCCTCACTGAGTCCCTGGGAAAACTCTCCTCCCTGATGCCTTCACCTCGTTATTTGCATAATGAAGAGGTTGAATATATCTCTGGTTATAACTTTTTGAAAAAATTTTTAGCAGTAAAGAAAAGTCCACTGTTTTTTTCACATGCCCCACCCATTTCCCCTTCTTCTGGAAGTAGTTCAATCAACGTGGCTTCCACATCTAGCTCTAAAGTAGGCATGTGACTCAGGCCAGCCAGCCAGAGTAACATGTCCCCTTTTGACCAGCGATTGGTTGGGGATAGGCACATGAGTCCATGAGTCCACGACACACATTTCCATGATTTTTGTCGGAACTCTGGGAAAAGAAAAGACCTCATTCTATTAGGGTTATCATGCCTGGTGCTTTTTGAGGTTCCACAAAAAAAAAAAATGTACAGCTGAGAGTTAAGAAAGAGCAGATTCTTGTCCACATCATCTGAACACCTAGACCCAACTGTACCTGAAGCTCATATCCATGGGCTTTTAGCTATAAGGCCAATAAGATACTCTTTTGACTAGGCCAGTTTGAGTTGGTTTCTGTTACCTGTATCTAAAAGAGTCATAACTAGTTTCTTCTCATTAAATCTTGTATAAATTAAAATCAAGCTACTCTGGGAGTCTGAGGATGGAAAGGAGAAGCAGAAGAGGGAGGGAGCCCCAGAGCCCCCAGTCCCCTCGGTGTGCCAGGACACTCTGCACTTCCCCCATGATCACACTGCGTGAGCATTGTTTGTTCACGTGCTTGTTTCGTGAGTGTTCCAGGCCTAGGATAAGAGGGTTCTAGCAGAGATATTCTGAACAGTGTCTTCTTCTCTGCCTTCAGCTCCCTCTCTCTCAATCCCTTATGTACGTCCCTCACTCCAGGATCCCTGCCAGCCCTCCCCCACCATCCTGATGCTCACCTACCACCCGGAAAACCATGGAGGTGGAGTGGGCGCCCCGGGCATTGGTGGCCACACAGGTGTAGATGCCAGCATCTTGGAAGCCTACTTGATCGAGGTTGAGGGTCAGGACTTTCTGGTAACTGTTATCACGGAAGTCGGTGTGTTCAGAGATTGCGAGCTGCAGCCGGAAGAAATGGAAATGCCATACCAAGGTTGTTTAGGGATTAGAAAGACTTGGGTTCAAACCCTCATCCTTTAAGGATTATTATCTTCCTTTCCTTGGGCAAGGGACTGATCTCTGAGCCTCAATTTTTCCATCTGTAAAATGGGACAATGACTGGCCCCGTGCTTCCAGGGCTGCAGTGAAGAGGAAATGAGACGTTGTACGCAATGGCTGTGCCTGGCATACAGTAGGCAAAGCGGGACAGGAGGGGGTTCTCAAAGGCAGCCTAATGCCAGTTCCTCCTGGGAACGCTCCCTCTTCTTCCCTCTCTCTCAAAGAAAGTCTTTCTGAAATAGCACTTACATCCCTGGGCTTCAAAGGTGGCCCGAAGTGAACTGACATCTGGATCTTGTCTTCAGCGGCATGAGCTGAGTTCTGATTTTGGACCAGCTACTGACTGCCAGTGAGATCCTGGTGAGTCCACTCCCCTCTATGGACCTGGGCCGTGCCCTCAGCCTAGAGAGCCAGCTTATGGTAGGGCTGGGGGCCCATCCTGCAGGGCCCAGTGTATTGGGAAGATGGGCAGACTTCACCCTGCTATCTCCCTGGGGACTGACCTTGGTGTTTCCTCGTTGGAGGGAGATATCAAACTTAACATCAACGTCACTGGCTGAGCACACGATCTGGGCAGCCTCCCCTCGAATCCGCACCAGCTCTGCAGGCTCCAGTGTCACAGTCGGGGGCCTTGGGACAACTGAGGGCAGAGGGAGGGACCCATGAACACCCAGGCCAGAACTTTTGCTCTGCTCCCTGCCATGGGCCAGGCTACTGGCGGGGGCTCCCACCACGTTCCCACCCCAAACCCTGGGAGGTGCCCTTGATGCTTCAATTTCCCTGCCAGCAAGTAGTATCTCCTAAGAGACCTTGAAAAGTCCACTTCCCTCCATCACTGCCGCCTCTGCCCAGTCTCACAGCCCTCTCTGCTCTGGGCCCCTGCAACAGCCACCCGGAAGGCCCCCCTGCTTCCTGGCCAACCCCTCTACCACTTGGACTCCTCACAGCCACCAGAGTTGAATGCTTAAGAAGGTGCATTGGATCATGCCCTTCTCCTGTGCCAGTATTCAGTGGTTTCCCATCACTCTCAGAATGAAAAGTCAAAGTCCTTCCTACATCGCCGTTGCTGACCACCCCAGCACCCCGCACCCACACTGGCCTTCCCACCGGAGGCCCTTTTGCTCGCCCCACGTTCCTGGAATGCTCTCTCTCCCACACTTTGAATGGGTATCTGTTTTCACCCCTCAGATCTTTAGCTCAAACATTCCTCAGAGAGGACTTCAGTGATCATTTAGCCTCACTGCCCCCCAACACACACACACATCTAGCTTTCTCTGTCTGGGTTTCTTGTCACAATTGGTTCGTCATTTACTTTCTCTCGAGTGGATAGTCCCAGCTGCTAGCCCAGTGCTTGACATGTAGTAGGCACTGAATTAATATCTGTGACTGTTGCTGTTGTTGAAAGATGATCTAAGCCAGTTTCCCAAGGTCCAGAGACACTAAAGGACACATCAAAGGTCGCTGAAGGGGTCGTGGCAGAACCGGGATCCAGGGTAGCCCAGGGCTCTGCAGGATGGTTTGGGGGACTCCCCCTAAAGGCCTCCTCTACCCACAGAGTGGGGACCTTTAACTTCTTGGGCAGGTTTTGTGGCCTCAAGGCCAGGGCCTGGGGCCACCCATGCTGCTCTGACCCCGGCCATTCCAGGGACCTGCTTCCTTCCTCAGGTCCTGAACCTGGGGCCTCCTTATTCGCAGTCCTTCCAGAAACTAGAATCATGACCCCCAGCCCAGCAGGGGTGAGGGGGGAAAGGAGTGAGCCTGCACTACCTCTGTCCCCCAGCCCCCCCTACACACAGTTCAAGCTGTCCCACCCGCCCACCACCACCTCCCTGTCACTGGGCTCACCACCCCTCTTTCATGTGTCCAGTGCCCAGCACCAGGCTGGCACTGAGTGGGATCCATGTGTGAGGGTGTGGGAGAGCTTCAGGTTTTCCTCCTGTTCCTGGAGCATTCCGAGCCTCTCCCCACCTCATGACTTTGTACCTGCTGTTTTCTCTGCTGAAATACACCTTTGAGGGCCACCTTCTCGTCATTCACATTTCCGCTCAAATGAAATGTCAGTCCCTTAGCAAGGCTCCCCTCCCCTTGTCCCCACACACTTAATTCCATCGCCTTGTTAATGGTTTCTGATCTGAGTGTTCTGCCCACTAGTTATTTACTTGCATGTAGTATGTCTTCCCGCCCCACACACCTTGCGTGTCTTTCCCCAGCAGGTGCCCCAAAGGTGACTGTGGCACAATTGGAAGGAAGAAGTAAAATCAAGGGGATACCCGTTATGTCCCATCAGATGGGGCCCAGCCACCACTAGCATGGTGGCCAGGTCCCCGTCCCTGCCCTCCATGCCTGGCCTGTCCCTCCTGGCCCCACGCACCTTTCTGCACTTTAAGACGGATGCCGAGCGACGTCACCATCCTGCCGGCTACTTGAGCGCTGCATTGGTAATCCTGGTTGTCAAGGTACCTGGCGTTGTGAATCGTGAAGCCGTGCCGGGGTGAGAAGGAGTAGTTGGTCTGGCGCAGGACAGGCCGGTTACGCACCCGCACCAGTGAGACACCAGCCTCCAGTGCCGGGTCGGTGAGCAGGCAGGGCAGCAGGGCATCCTGGCCCTCGAACACTGTCACTTCCTGGGCCAGCAAATTCCAGGGCTGAGCAGGGTCTGGGTTACGGGGGGATACAGGGTTACAACTGCCCTCCCTCTGCCAGGCTAAGTGGTCCCTGGACATTGGTGACAGGGAGGCTCGGAGATGCTGATCCTTTGCCTGAGGTCACACTGTACCAGGGAGGCTCAGCTGATGCTTCAGAGTGGGGGCTTTGGAGCCAAGTCCAGCCCTACTACTTGATGCTATGTGAGCTTGAGCAAATGACTCAACCCCTCTGAGCCTCTGAAAAATGGGCGTAATTATGGAACCTACTTGCAGGGTTATTGTGAGGACTATATTAAGTTAGAAGCGCTGCCACAGGTCCTTGTTCTGGGAAGACACTTGATAAATATGGAGCTAGTTCTTCATGATTGCTAATATTAAGGCCCAGCCCTCCTGCTCATTCCTGCTGGGGTTGCTGGGCCAGGCCTCTTGGGAGTGGGCCTGGAGTCCTCACCTTTGACGTAGAGGTGAATGCTGGCACTGCCCCCCAGGGGGTCTCCGGGCTCAGTGCAGCGATAGGTCCCCGTGTTTTGGAAAGTAGCATTGTTTGTGGTCAGGATGCTGCTGGGGGCATCAGGGTCCAGGGTCCAGTGTGGGAAGGAGGTGGGGCCATCCCATTCCACACTGCCATTGCCCACACATCGCAGGGTCACCGTCATGCCTGGCATCACGACCAGCTCAGAGACACTGGGCTCTATCACGGGGACCCCTTGAGCTGGTGGAGGAAAGATAGCAAACAGAAGTGAGGCCTAAGGTGACACCCTCCGGGCCATTACCTGCCTCTGAGATGGGTGGTGCCCTGGCAGGGGTGGTGCTGGTGCTGGGGCTCAGCTGTGACTTACAGGATCACCCTGAACAAGCCCCTGCCCTTCTCTGGTCATGTGCTCAGGCCCCCACCCCAAGCTGCTCAGAGATGGACTGGTGTCTCTGATGCCCAGCAGGCCCCTCCTCTGAGAAAGAGGGGCTGGGAGCTTTCTTGGCCTTTCACCAGGCCGCTGTCCCTCGGGGGCCCCCAGCCTCTGCCTTGGTCTCTCCAGCTGTCACTCACTATTCCTCTCCCCAGGAGCAGATTCCTTCCGCCTCCTGAAGTGGGCTGCACACTTACTCCCATACTTAGGGCCTGGCTCAAAGCAGGAGTTTCACACAAGGAAAGGAGGAGACAGATGAATGGCAAGTTCATGACAAAGTCCTCTGACTTAATTCACATGGGTAGGAAGGTGTAGGGTTTTGGCCCAGCGGAGTAAAAAAGGTTCTAATTCTTCTGTTGTACCCATTCCCACCACTGGATGTCTGGTCTGTGCCTCACCTTCCCCACCTATAAATTGGGGGCAATAATTGTACCCATGTATTGGGATGTCAGGAGGCTTAAATGCATGGAAAGCCCTTAGAACATCACCTGTCACCACATAAGTACTCAGTGAGAGTTAGCTGTTATGTTTATGATCTTCCCTACCCCAACCCCCAGCACTACTATGTGTATCAGAAAGCCAATCTCTTTTAAGGAAAACTTTCTTGAAGGACAAAAGAGAACTTAAAACCCATACCAGGCCCTCCGGGAAGAAGGCCCGTTGCCTCTGCAGTGTCAGCATTTCTCCAGGGCCTAAAATAGGGGCCAAGGAGGGAAGTGAGAGCTGATTTAAGGCCTTGGAGGGGCTGCCAGGCGCCCTGGCCTGTGCCGGCGGAAACATATTGCTGACGCTCAGCCGGGCCCCCGGTTTCCTCTCTGCCTGTGTCCCTTCTCCCTGGGATGCTCTCACTTCTGCTTCCTGACCCTCCTAGCCACTGTCCCCTCTCTGGGGGAGAGACTCCCAGGAGAGGCATTGCTACCTGCTGGGCATCAGAACACCCTGGACTGCAGGGCCTGGCCCTGCCACTGACCCACTGGGTGCCCTGATGATCACAACCCCTTGGCTCTGACATGAGAACACGGACACCCCAGTCCTGAGGGCACTCGGGGCCTCTCCACTGTCCTGCACACAAGCGCCTTAGGTGGATCTATCCATCCCCAGCCCACCATCTACCCCAGAGTCAGAAAGATCTTCTCTGTCAAATTATTTCATGAAGGCCTTGGCCGGTGAGGCTGGGTTGGACCATCCTCCCGCACACCAAAAGGTGGTGGGTTCGATTCCCGGCCAGGGCACATACCCAGGTTGGGGCATGTGTGGGAGGCAATAGCTCGATGTTTCTTATGTTTATCTTTCTCTCTCTTCCGATGTTTCTGATGTTTCTCATCCTCTCTCTAAAATCAATGAAAAACATATCCTCAGGTGAAGATATTTTTTTTTAATGACTTCAGGAGGATTTAATTTATATTTTGATGTTGTACCCATCAGGGGTGCGCAGCCTCTGTGCCCAAGCTTCTGATCAACATAAGTGATAGAGTGAACCGGTGGATACCCCAGGCCGACAGCTGGGGACACCAGGTCTCCTGTGCCATGTGACCACCGGCAGAGGGGCAGCAGCATCCCTGGCAGGCTGTCTGCTAATCCCAACAGAGCTGGCGTTGCCCCACTGCAGCTGCAGCGATGCAGGCCCTGGGCCGGGGGTTATTGCAGGGGAGAGCGTGGACTGTGGGGCTACACAGTGTGAGTGAGAAACTTGGTTCTCCCTTACAGACTGGGTAGGTGCCCTCACCTGTCTGCCCCTCACGCTACCCTCTGTCCAGTGGAATAACTGAGTTTCCACCCCTGAGAGGTCTGCGAGGATTCAGGGAGGGAGTACACAGTCCCCGGCTCCCATCTAGAGCTCCTGCCCTGGGCTGTGCTTTAATTGCTCCAAGTCTAACCTCCCTTCTGGTCTTGACATGCTGATATCTAAAGTTTATAATCTTTAAAGGTCAGAGTCTGTGACTGCAGGATCTGTGATCCCGGATTCTGTGTTCCACTTCTACACCCGTCTGGTCTTACAGGCGTTTCTTCCTCTCCCCCGCCCCGTCCCTCTAGCCTTGGCCTCTTGGAAATGTGGTCAGACAGAGGCGTCTGTCCTGTTTTGGCTTGTCCTGTTGTCCTGGATATTCACGAAAGACAGAACTGACACCCTCAGCTGACACCTCCCCCCTCCCCAATTTTCCTCCTGCTGGCTTGGCTGGTGGGAAAGGGAAGCCTGCTCAGGCCCTGGCCTCCCGAAGTGGAGGTTAGGGCATGGTGAACATTGCCCAAGGCCCCCTTCTGCTTCTGTCCAGGCTTCCCCCTCTCTTCTTAGCTCCCCAATTCTCCCCACGCCCGAAACCTCCCTTTCTCCCACTTACCCTCCATCATCAGCTCCCAGGATATCCCTCAACTTTCACTCCTCTCCCTCAACACACACACACACTACACACCAAGGCCTGGGACACAGCCCCTCCTTAGTCCAGGGTCTTAGCAAGCCTCTCTCCATCTAGGGTGCTCTGACCCCATCCCTTGACTCCCCCACAGCCTTGTTCACTCGCCTCTTAGCTTTCCTTCCAACCCTTCTTTACCCAAGCCTCCCAAGGAAGGACCACTGCCCCTTTGGGCCTTTCCAACTCAGGTCCTGCCTACAATCAGCGGGTCACAGCTGGCAGAGCCCGCAGAGCTATCAGGGGCTCTCCAGGGCCTCCCTGCCCACTGTAGATCTGGACCAGCAGCATGTGCATGTCTTAGGAGCTTGTTAGAAATACAGCATCTCAGGTAGCACTGAAACCTACTGAGTTAGAATCTGCACTGTAACAAGATCCCCAGGTAATTTGTTTTGGTTTGTTTTATTTAATGTCCATTGCTTTTCAGAGAAAGTGGAAGGGAGAGAGAGAAAGAGAAACATCGATGTGAGAGAGACACATTGATTGGGTTGCCTCCCGAACACACCTTGACCAGGGGTCAGGATTCAAGTCTGCAACCAAGGTACATGCCCTTGACCAAAATTGAACCCAAGACCCTTCAGCCTGCAGGCCAATGCTCTAACCACTGATCTAAACCAGCCAGGGCTCCCCAGGTAATTTGTATGCACAGTAAAGTTTGAAAAGCTTTGCTTTACTCTAGTCTGGGCCCCCGACTCCTGCCATTGAATAGATGTGGACACTGAAGCCCTGATAGCATCAGGGGCTTGTTCAGGACACAGTGAGTCAACATCAGAGCTGGGACTGATCCACATCCCTGGCCAGGCTGCCTCCACCCTTTAGCACCTCTCCAAAGCAAGTAGCCACACACCTGCAGACCCGGCTGGGGAGATGGAGGCAGAGAGTGGGTACACCGAGTGAAGGGCAGGAGTTTAGGGTCGTTCCACGGGGAACCTTGCTGTCACAGCCCC